ACATTCCTTCTTCATGTTCTCTATTCCACTAACCCCACAAATTCAGCTGAGTCAGAAACCCCTCACTAATCTCTCAGGTGTATTCTGAAACCTCCTGGAAGCGCAGGCCATTCATTCTCTTCCTTTTCAAACCGATCACCATCCCAGTTCACTCTCCTCCCTCTCATCAGCCCCCGACTTCCCTCCGTGGGCCTTCTGCCTCTCACTGTCCCCACTTTCAACTCTCCCTGGGCATCTTACAAACCTCTCAACGCTCCTGGGGCCTACAGAATAAAGTCCGCATTCTTTCGCAAGGTTTTCTCAGAGGTATACATGGCTTTTGAATTAGACAAACCTGAGTTTCATTTCCAACTAACTCTGAGCACTGTGAAGGGCAAACGGCAGAGAAGTTGGGGTTGGGGGCGGGGGGCAGTACCTGAGGACGGATTCTGGGAGGGCACAGTGAGTGTCTGCGAAGGGGCAGTGGGTCGGAGGGAAGTCCCGGGAGGGGTCCGGGTCTCCGAGGGAGGCGCGGCACTGAGCCGCGGGCAGACGCCCGGGGGGCGAGGTGGAGCGCTTTGCAGCCCGCGTTTTCCGCGGAATCTCGTGAAGCGAGGAAGGTGCCTGCGAGGAGTCAAGCACCAGATCCCCGACACGCGCGCGGTAACTTCTGATGGGCCGCCGGCCTCTGAGGGGTGCAGACGCCGGGCCCCTGTCCCGGGACCCTGGGGGAAACCAGAAGGGCCGGGGAAAGGGGCCGAGAAGGGAAGTGTCCCCAAGCCGCTGAGAAGAGCCAAAGGTTCGGGTAGGGTGCCAAGGACCCCGAGCGCCAGAGCTCCGGGCCGAGGGGATGTAGCAGCAAGCGCACGCGGGCCAGGATGCCCCAGGTTTGTGCCCCCACGCACTCTCTGGACGTTACCTGAGGCGGGACTGAGCAGCCAGAGGGGTGCCGGCGCGGGCGGGACGGGAAGGCGGCGGCAAGGAGGGCGCATAGTAGCCCTCACAGCTCGGTGGCGGCAGCGGCTCCTTAGCCAGCAGAGGCGGTCGGGGCACCTCGCGCAGAAGCCGGCGACTCGGGGGCACTAGCAGCGGCAGAGAAGGAGGAGGCAACTGCCATGGCCCCGCAGTCGGGGCCGCTCCCCCGCCTCCCTGGCGGGTCCCGGAGGAAGATCCCACCAGCCAGCCCCAAGGAGGCAGCTGGAACCTCCGCTAGGCTCCCGGGCCGCGGGACGACTGAAACACCTCCCCGCGGAGCAGCAGTTCTGGGGGCGGGGCCTCCTTGAGGCACGCCCCCCTCGAGCCCTCGCTCAGAGTAGCCAATCAGTCGTCGATTCTTGATAAAGGGGCTCCTGGTGTTGCCCAATCAGCGTAAGGCATACCACGTGGTACGAGGGTGGGCACAATGGGCGTCCAGAGAAGCCAATCAACAGCCCTAGGCGCCAACTCTGGGGGGGGGACGAAGGGAACCAATAGGAAGGAAGTGGAGGTAAAAACAGAAGAGGCAGTGTGTGCTTGGAAAGGCGGAACAGAGGAGAGAATACACCTGGGGAAACCCAAGTTCTGAAGTCTCTCTGAGGGAGGGACAGTAAACACAAGGTGGATCAATCAAAATGTCAAACACAGAAGCGATAGGTAATTGATAAAGCCGATTGAAAATGGATTAGACCCTTCGCGGCTCTTGAGTTGATAAGTTAAGGAAAAGTCCTATGCGCCGTCCGCCAGGATCTCAGTGAGACTTAAAAACCAAGAGCGATGAGTAAAGACGCTGGCGGAACAATTCATCTAGATTAAGAGATTCGATTCGGTGAAGACGCAGAGGAAGGAACACTTGAGCTGACTTGAAAACAGGATTTTGAAAGAGCTGGGGGGGGGGGGGGAATAGAATTCTATCCAACTGTTGGACAGACACATGTCTCCTCATGCTTTCCATATGTCTGGGCGTTCATAATCTCCTCACTTAGCAGACTGCAGTATCAAGAAGGCAAGAGCAGCCAGGGTCGGCGGATTGTGCACCTTACTGCATCAACACTCCCTCAGATTAGAGACCTCCTTTTAGACATCTTCAGGCTTCCCTTCTCCTGGAAGAGGGGAGTCTCGATAGATGAGTGAGATCTAAACAATCGGAGTATAGGTGGTATACATTTCTGATGGCAATAAAGTGCATGAAAGATATATGTGTTAGGAGATAAGGCAGAGAGAAGAGGCTAAACATGGGTTGGGCTCAAATGCCAGACATGTCCCTTTTTTTTCATGCTGCGATAGCTATTCTCGAGTGGGAGCATAACCTAAACAGTGTACTGGTTCAGGAAGATTAATCAGTAGTTCACAGGATTTCTGAAGGGAGAAAAGATCACCCCAGTCCTGTCCCCTGACCCAAAGCCCTTTTGGTATCATTTTTCTAGCAACAAATCATGTGCTGCCACCTGGTGACAGTTTAAATACCACTGTTCCACATTACTATTTAATATTGCTGTTATGAAAACCCTGGCAATCCTTATAAAGTGGGTGATAAATAAATACAGCACTGGTAGCAACCAGAATTGGACGATGCCACCATGCCAGTGGTATCAGATGTCCAGCGAAAGATATAAAAACAGGAGTGCCAGGGGCCGGCACTGTGACACAGCAGGTTAAGCCACTGTCTGGGACACCATCATCCCATATCAGTGCCAGTTTGAGCCCCAGCTGCCCCACTTCCAATCCAGCTCCCTGTTAATGCACCTAGGAGAGCAGCATAGGATGGCCCAAGTGCTTGGTTCCCTGCACCCACACATAGACCCAAAAAAAGCTCCAGGCTCCTGGCTTCGGTATAGCACAGCCCTAGTCATTTGTTGCAGCAATCTGTGGAGTGGACCAGCAGATGGAAGATCTCTTTCTCTCTCTCCCTTTCAAATAAATAACAAGTAAATCTTCTTTAAGATTTGTTTATTTATGTGAAAGGCAGAGTTACACAGAGAGAGAAGGAGAGGCAGAGAGAGAGAGAGAGAGAGAGAGAGAGAGAGGTCTTCCATCCACTGGTTCACTCCCCAGTTGGCCACAACAGCTGGAGCTGTGCTGATCCAAAGCCAGGAGCTTCTTCCGGGTCTCCCACACAGGTGCAGGGGCCCAAGAACTTAGGCCATCTTCTACTGCTTTCCAAGGCCACAGCAGAGAGCTGGATCAGAAGTGGAGCAGCCAGGACTCAAACTGGCGCCCATATGGGATGCCAGCACTGCAGGCACTGGCTTTACCCACTACACCACAGCGCCGGTCCCAAGTAACTTAAAAAAAAAAAAAAAAAGTGCCTTCTGATCTCTACTCTCAGCAGTTTCCCAAAGCTGAGGGAACAGGAGGATTTTCATACAGCTATTCAGGTGTCAAAGCCCCCCCACCCCACCCCATGTGCTTTCTACTAATGAATTCAGGGCCTCCTCCACAACTAAAGGTAGTTACTGCCCATTCAACTCAACCTTTTACTACACTTTTATATCAGATAACTGTCTCCTCTCTCCAGCTAGACTGAGTTCAGATTTGGTACCTTTACCTGAGCCCAATGCAAGCGTTAGTGCTGGGCAAATGCATACTTGGACTGCTTTTTTTTTTTTTTTTTAATTTATTTATTTGAAAGGCAGAGTTACAGAGAGGCAGAGGCAGAGAAAGAGAATCTTCCATCCACAGGTTCACTCCCCAAATGGCCACAACAGCTGGAGTATAGCCAATCTGATGCCAGGAGTCAGGAGCTTCTTCAGGGTTTCCCATGTGGGTGCAGGGGCCCAAGGCCTTGGGCCATCTTCCACTGCTTTCCCAGACCATAGCAGAGAGCTGGATTGGAAGTGGAGCAGTCAGGACTTGAACCAGCACCCATATTGGATGCCAGCACTGCAGGCGGCGGCTTTACCTGCTACATCATAGCCCCAGAACTGCTTTTAATAAGCATCCACTTGGCTATCTTATAACTGTATTCAGCAGTAAAAGAGGCCTATGAGGGCTCAATGAGATGCTGATGTTTCCAAGAAAACCCTGGATGGACTATCTAGAACATATGCCTGGGTAAGGAGAAAGTAAAGCTCCCCTTAATCACCTAGGAAGATAAACTCTCCGGAGAGAAATCAAGTGGTGGAAGGATTGGAACCATTAGCCACAAGGTTGTTTTTTTTTTTTTTAATTAAATACAATAGAAAATATCAGAATGTATCATTCCAAGAAAGAATAAGTACTGAGACATAAAATTTTTGTTTCAGTTAATAAAATACATACATATAGTTATTAGGTTGCAAAAACTTCTGATAGACACTAGATTAGAGGTAGAGACTGAGGGGCCGGCACTGTGGCACAGTGGGTTAACGCCCTGGCCTGAAGCACCGGCATCCCATATGAGTGCTGGTCCAAGTCCTGGCTGCTCCACTTCCCATCCAGCTCTCTGCTGGGAAAGCAGTGGAGGATGGCCCAGGTCCTTGGGCCCCCGCACCCGCGTATAAGACCAGGAAGAGGCTCCTGGCTCCTGGCTTCAGATCAGTGCAGCTCCGGCCATTGCAGCCATTTGGGGAGTGAACCATTAAACGGAAGACTCTCTCTCTCTCTCTCTCTCTCTCTCTCTGCCTCTCCTCTCTCTGTGTAACTCTTACTTTCAAATAAATAAATAAATCTTAAAAAGAAATAGAGGTGGAGACTGAAAGCAGAGACCAAGGAGAAGGCTGTTGCAGAAAAGCAGGCTGGGGTGACAGGGATGAGCTGTGGAGAGGCTGATGTGAGCTAGAGATGAGGAAAGGAAGCCCCCTACCGTCAGGTCCAGAGCCCACCAGAATGTCTCACCCTCACCTACATCCCCACAGCACCACTGCCTGAGAGCAGTATCCTACCTACTCATCAGAACAGGAGCTCCCACCTCTTTCCAACTACAACTGAGCTTGTACTCAGAAAGTATAGCTATAATGTCCATGAACTTGAATTTCAGAGGTAGATGTCACAGGAAACAGTCAAGTAACAGGAGGCAGAACTGAGTCTATGCCATGTGGGGGCTGAGTCACAGAAAACACATGAGGGAGGGGTAAGCCATTTTATTGCAGCTGGGGAGTAGACAGGCAGTACAGTGCAAAGCCCCAATAGAAAAGGCAGGCACCTGCTAGAGGTGGCCCAGAAACAGGGTCTTGGAGGGGAGGGTGGACATGGAAGGCTTCATTCCACTACTCTTCTAAATCCTTACAGGTCACTCAGGAGCATCTTAGGGTCCTGAAGGAATGGGTCCTCTTGCTCAAGACTCAGGCCATGGTGCTGAAAGCAGCTGGGCTCCAGGTTAGGAAGGGTGCTCCCTGGGAGAACTAAAGAAGGGAAAGAGAAAAGAAAACCAAGCATCAGCGAGCACTGTGAAATGTACAGAGCTAGGCCTTGGGCCTTTCTGGTAGGGAAGGACACACAAACCTTGACTTGGAAGAAGCAGCAGCAGAGGTTGATAGATTCACAAAGAAGGAGGCAGAGACTCCATTCTACCCAGTTGTCATCCACCCATTCAGAGTCAGCCTCCCCCAGAACTGGGATCCCTGCCTTTACCCGTAACTAGCTTCTTTAAAAGTTTCCAGCTACCATTACCACCTGGAAGATTGACTTCAGAGCTATATGAAGAAAGAGACATGGCGAAGGTGGTGGCAAAGGGCAGCTTACACTGAAGGACATCATCAGAGGTCCTGGAAAAGGGAACACAATCAGAGTCACAGGTGGTGCTGACGGTACAAGAGGCCCTCCCAGCACAGTACTGTCCTCCTTCCTGAGGCTAGGACTCCAGTCTCTTCTCCTTTAATCCTTTAAAACTATAAAGATACCTCAGTGACTCTGAACAATGCCCAGTGCTGCCATTATGAGCTATAATCTACACACTCATCCCACCCCTGGAAGCCCAGGTCAAATTTAGCATTAACTGAACTTTGGTAGCCAGTGCCTCATCTCTGTCAGTCAAAACCCCTCCACTGGCACAGCACCCGCATCCCCTGACCTGAGGAAGTTGTGCTCCCGCCGGGCATCCTGGACCTCTGTCATGGCAACCTCCAGGGCGTGACCCTTGTGGCCACTTTGCAGCTGCTCCAACATCTGCCAGATCATGGGCCCATGTTGAACCAAACCTCTCCCTCTGCAGGAGGAAACCCCCTCCCCATGATTGGCCTCCCAGGACACCTAGAACCCTCAAGTGGGCAAGGACAGCTTCTTATGGCCTGAAGTGGAGTAATTAGAAAGAGATATGAAGAAAAGCAGAGTACACACAAGGAAGAGGGAAATAAAGATGGGGAGAGAGTGTTCTGGCCTGCTCGCAGAAAGGGGTAGATAGAGAAGGGAAGGGGCCTCAGTGGGGAAGTACATAGAGAAGATCTGGTCCTGGTCCTACCTTCCAGCTACGGGCCTGAGCCTGCCGCCCCTCAGCTACCTGTTTCAGGAGCAGCTCCTGGTGCTGGCCTACAGATGAGAGCAAACTTAAGTGGCTGCTCCCTGACTTCTTTTCTTCTTCCTTCCTGCCTGAGGACCTTATGCTGAAGACAAAGACAGAAGCATTCTGGTCCAGCTGCGGGAAGCTTCCAGGCTGACTGGAGAGACTAAATTCACACTATGAGAGGCAAAGAGCAAGACGAAATACTTGGCCAGACTTCTCAGTAGCTCAAGCAGTCAGTGCTATGGCAACTTCCTGGGAGAGCAAGAAGACTTTCCAGAAAACAGGACAGGGAGCACATACTCACCCCCAGTCTGTTACTTACTCAGCTGGTCCCGCAGTAACTTCAGTTCCTCCCGCAGAATCTCTGACTCCTCCCACAACAGTTGCCGCCTGCAGTGTTAGCGTAGAGTCGGTCAGCAAGCCCAGAGTGAGGAAGAAAATGCCCTCCTAGAATGCCAAGAGTTCAGAAGCCTGGAGAAAGCGAGACCTTACTCATCACTTACTCAGACTGCAGCTCCTGGTGAAGCCCTCTGATCTGACTGCCCTTTCCTGGTCCTGCTTGGCCTTGGGCTTGGGCCTGCTCTTGTACCTGGCTCCGAAGGCCCTGCAGGTCCCTTCTCAGTATCTCCAAGCGTTGGTCCAGGGAAAGAGTCCTGTCTTCTGGCCCCCCCTGCAGCAACTTCAGTGATGCTACAGCGGGACAAGTTGGGGGTCAGCCCGTCTGAGTTTCACACATGAGCCCACTTTAGTTACAAATCAAGAAACACGCGTACACACAGCAAAAGTGTGTGGACACATACAAAACTGGGTGAATGATGTGAACAGCTTGTCAGATACCTTCCAGGGCACTGATCTTGTATTTCTGCTGTTCTCGCTCTTGCAGCAGACCCTGTACAGACTGCCTTAGTGCTTCGGTCACCTACAAAGGTAGAAAAAAACACACGAGCTCCTGTATAAGAGGCCTTCCCAACCCCTACTATTCTTGTCTCACACAAACACCATATAGCACACAGGAGTTCAAGCCTCACCTGAGCCTGAGACTGCAGCTGGGATCGAAGAAGAGTAATTTCATCCCAGAGAGAGGGTGGACGGTAGGTCCCAGTGCAGCTCCTCCTCTCTGAGACACTGGGAGTCTCCAGAGCCCAAGGGTGTCGAGCTAGCACTTCTGACTGGGGAGGCAAGTGAAGAGGGGAAATCCAGGTCCCAGCCAGGTCCCCTGCTGGGGGAATAAGAAAGGGACAAATGCAGAGTCCAGTGGGGGGTCGGGGAGAGAGAGTTCAGGAAAGGAAACAGTTGGAAGAAGGCAGATTTTGGAAAGGCTGGGAGAATACTTCCCTGCAGTGGTGACTTCAAGGGGATACAGCCGCTGCTACAAAAGAAAGTTACACCGGCCAAGTCTGAGAGTGCAGTATCCTGCCCCACCCCGCCACACACAGCCTGGGGCCTAGAGCACCCCTCACCTTAATCCGGGCCACATTTCTATCAGTTGCATTGAGAAGCACATCAAGCTGCTCAGACCAACTCAAGCTCTGGCTCATATCCTGGTGGCGGGAGTCTGGCTCCCTTGGCGTCTTGTGCCGTTGCTCTACCAAGGTACAACCCAGGAAAGGCCACCACGTTAGATCGAAAGAGGGGAGTGGGGATGCAGTATTGGAGTAGGGGTGCAATATCAGACCAAACTACGTCTCTGGGACTAAGCAAGGGCGGGGCGCTCCTGAGGAACTGGAGGAAAGTGAGATACTCTGATATATAATTTTTTTTTTTTTACAGGCAGAGTGGACAGTGAGAGAGAGAGACAGAGAGAAAGGTCTTCCTTTGCCGTTGGTTCACCCTCCAATGGCCGCCGCGGCCGGCGCACCGTGCTGATCCGATGGCAGGAGCCAGGTACTTATCCTGGTCTCTCATGGGGTGCAGGGCCCAAGGACTTAGGCCATCCTCCACTGCACTCCCTGCAGGCCTTTGTTTAGATTAATCTTCAACTGTGTTCCCATAAGGAGGATTCATTAGAAAATTCCATTTGTACAGCTCACTGACATGGTTAGCGCTTGGCCATCTGGCTTCAGTGCTCTCTTTCTTGTACCTTGATAAGCACGTCTGGTAGCTGTAAGACCTCTCTGTAACTCCCTTTGTCAAATTGATGCTGATTCCTGTGAAATTATTCCTTTGAACTATGTTGTAAGATGACCCCTGCTTACCCTCGACTGTTACAATCCTTGTCTTATACTATATAAGCTACCTCCTTCTCCAATAAAGTGAGACCTTGATCAGAATATTGTCTTGGTCTCCCTTCTGTGTCTGGTTTGTCTCTCCATTCAGGCCTGCCCTCCTCGTGTCCTAGTTGATTACCCCGCGGCCGGCCGGGGCAAGGTGGGATCTGAATGCGCCGAATCTTGGTGGAGACCGTCCCTGATCCAGGATACGCGCCCCACCGTGCCAAATCAATGCCTGCTACTATTGCCGGCGGCTGGGTTCAAACTCTCCAGAAGTTCGACTTCAGACTGGCTACCGCACAGCCACCTGGGAAACTGAGTTCGTCTCTTGCGGTGACAACTGGCGACGGAGGCGGCAGAACTACGTCTCCCTGGAAGCTACCATGGCACGCACACCCCCACCGTGAAGCTTGCCGGGAAATCGAGTCTTCGTGATTCTGTAGGGGTTGACTCCAAGGACCTAACAAACTACGTATCCCAAGATGCATTGCGAAGAACCAACAGGCTTCCGCTGCTGGGCCTGGTGGTTCCTGGGAAATGGAGTCCAAGCCGTCTTGAAACACAACGGCCCCTTTATCCTTGAGACTCCATTCCCCAGCAATCTCAGCGTGCAGCGTGTGTTATGGAGCCGCATGTCGCAGAACTGCAGCAGAAGGTTGAGGACACGTTGTGTCCTTTTGGCTTCGAGGTTTATCCCTTCCAGGTTGGTTTATCCCTCCTGCAGTTAGAGGGTGAGGTGTATATGATTGGGCTTGGTGCAAACGGCGTGAGAGCCCGGGAGCCTCACCGAGATCCTCCGGCCCGCTGTCCATCTGGCTGCTGGGACGGGGTGTCAATGGGTATTTGGGTTAAAAATGTAGAGAAACGGTCGCATGTTTGTCCTTTTACCCCATTGAATGCCAGATTGATGAATAGAGGCGCTTTATAATCCTGTAACCTGTGCGACGTTATCACCTACATAGTTTACAGGGAAAAGGGACCCGTTGGGGAGAATCACCTTGGAAGCTTCCCCAAGGAGTTAGGAGAGGGCAAGGCTTAGAAGGTTTGCGTGGCTATGATTTATTTCAGCTGGGAAGGGAAGGGCAAGAAAACAAGAAAACAATTGGCTGGTTTGTTCCATCTACCAACAGAAGGATAATTCACAATGTTGCTAATCATCAGTGCTGACTGGTTGCAGAAACTGCACCCGCCTGGCACAGAAGTCTCCGCGCTTCCCTCCCCCCTCACTCCCCACTCCCGTGCCTTTACTTAGGACCGTCTGCCCCACATCAGTGCCCCCTGCACTGAGAAGTGTACTTAAGACACAAATTAAATTAACTGGGCTTGAGACTGTTTGTCTGATGCTGAGAGCCCACTTCCCACTTTTTCCATTGAGTAGCTCACAGCAGTGCTGGGAAGTAGAGAGGGAAAAATAGGTTGGGTCTACCTTGAGAGAGGACTTGCCAGAAAAAAAAAAAAAAATTGAGCTATGAATGAAAAGATAGATTGGAAGGAAGGAGGATTATGTACATCTGAAATATCAAGAACAACTTGAAAAAATGTTTAGGAGAAGTGGTGGCACCCCCACCCCCACCTCCCCGCATCCCCCGACCACCACCTTGCTTCTCCTGGATACCCCTCCACAGCACCTACCCTTATCACACAGTCAGTCAATAAAGCTTTCCTCTGAGCAAAAAAAAAAAAAAAAAAAGAAGAAGAAGAAGAAGAAGTGGTGCATGACAGGTGTGAAGGAAATGACTGACAAGTCAGGCAGACCTGGGTAATGGGAACTGTTGTACTGAACGGAGCCCGCTGCAACCCTGCTAAGGCCTGAATCTCCCAAATCTGCTTCCTTCCATCTCACTGATTCATCTATGCCCTGGTCCAGACCACCATTTCTCATTTGGATTACTCCAATAAACTTTGCTGTTACCTCACCTCCAATCCATGCATCACACTGCAGCCAGATAGTTAAATCTTCAGTGGCTCCTCATTGTCACCAAATTAGATCCACTAGCACTGAAGGCCAGTCACAGTCTCACTCCTACTATTTCTCCAGCCTTCTCCCTTCTCCCATATGCAGAACCTTCACTCCCACCAAACTAGACAATTTGCCCTTCCCTAAATGTGCACAGTGCTTTTCTGCCTATGCCTTTGCTTATGCTATGACCTCTATTTAAGACACATAACAGGAGTGGGCGTTTGGTGCAGCAGTTAAGGCACCTCTTGGGATGCCTACATCCCATATTGGAATGCCTGGTTAAAAAATCCCAGCTCTTCTAATATGCTCCCTGGAGGCATTTCAAGTACTTGGGCCAGTGCCACCTATGTTGGGGACCTGGATGAAGTTCTAGGCTCCTGCCTTCAGCCTCGCCCAACCCAGACTGTTGTAGGCACTTGGGGAATGAACCAATGGATGGAGGATCTCTCTCTCTCTCCCTCTCTCTCTCTCAGCCTTTCAAGAAAAAAAAAAAAATGGAAATTACAACACACCCACCAGATTCTCCCTTTCCACATCAACCTTCAGTTTTCCTTACCAGCCTTTGGGACTCAACTCCCAAGAAAGCCTTTTCAGAAGACCCTCATCCAGCAGTGTACTGCACTGATCACAGTACAATTTCTGTTATGAGTTGTGCAGGAACTCTGCCTCTCTATTCTAAAACTGTCAAATTCAGATGAGTTCCCCGTAAACATGCATCACAAAGCATCAGTGAAAATTTATTGAACAGTGAGATGGAAACTGAGATAAGATACATGTGGCCTGAATACCAGGCTAAGGTATGAGCCTGGCTTAGGCCTAAGCTAACCCTCCAGCCTGGCCTGAACTTTCTATCTATTCCAGGTGGCGTGGTACAATGAACTACTGCCTCCAGCCTTCCACTTGCCCCTGCCAGGACCTACTCTGGCCTTCCTAGTACTCAGCACGCCTGCCATGTTTGACCAGGCCCTCAAGCCCTTTTTGCAGAGCTGCCACCTCCAACCACTGACAGACCCCGTGGACCAGTGTGTGGCCTACCACCTGAGTCGTGTTAAACAGGTGAGCAAAACAACTTTTCCCCAGCTTCCAGATCTCCAGTTGCTTTCAGTTCATCAAAGCTCAATGCAGGGTCTAGAACTAGAGCTAAGAGCCGCTCCTTCATAGGTGAAAAGATACCCTAATGTCAGCCTTGATATTCTGAACTCTACCCCAACTCTGCTTCCTTTGCAGACCCCCAGTCTGAAATCAGTCTTTTTTTTTTTTTTTTTTGACAGGCAGAGTGGACAGTGAGAGACAGAAAGGTCTTCCTTTGCCGTTGGTTCTCCCTCCAATGGCCTCCGCGGCCGGCGCGCTGTGGCCGGCGCACCGCGCTCATCTGATGGCAGGAGCCAGGAGCCAGGTGCTTTTCCTGGTCTCCCATGGGGTGCAGGGCCCAAGCACCTGGGCCATCCTCCACTGTACTCCCTGGCCACAGCAGAGGGCTGGCCTGGAAGAGGGGCAACCGGGACAGAATCCGACACCCCGACCGGGACTAGAACCCGGTGTGCCGGCGCCGCTAGGCGGAGGATTAGCCTAGTGAGCCGCGGCGCCGGCCTGAAATCAGTCTTACCCTACACAGATGAGCAAACTTACGAAACCCAAACCATTCTTCTCTTGGTCTTCTGGCTGAATGAGTCCAACATCTTCCAGGCATTACTCACCTGCTAGTTTTCTGCTATCCATGGAAGCCTTTTAGGACGGACGGAAGTGTTTCCCTCCAGCAAACTCAGATACACATAAATAAGTGCACCACACGTTGTGTCTCCCGAGAGTTAGGCCTTGTCTTCCTCCACACTAGAACACTGGAGGAAAGAGCCAAACCACCCCTCATACTGGAGGTTTCTGAGCAAGACTGCCTATTTCCCTTCAAGCAGAGGCCCTCTTGGAAAGAACTTGTAACTTTCACAATGAAAGAAATGACCCAGGTTATGCTTTCCCTTCAAACAGGACTTCTGACGGCAGGACCTTAACAAATTCATGACTCCCCTCATGCTGACAGGAGCCTCTTTCTCTCTGTCCCAGAGCCTCCCAGAGCTGCAGATAGAAGTCATTGCTGACTATGAGGTACACCCCAACCGGCGTCCCAAGATTCTGGCCCAGACAGCGGCCCACGTGGCAGGGGCTGCCTACTACTACCAACGACAAGATGTGGAGGATGACCCCTGGGGAAACCAGGTCAGAGGGCAAGTGTGAATGAGGGGGCTGCGGGGAAATGGTAAAATCCTCCAACATGTCCCTATTAGGGCTCACATTCCTTTGGCTTCCCTGGGTGACAACCCAGACGGCTATGTCCTAGGTAGGGGACTGGCCCCATCATATGCTTTCTGGAATTTTCCTGGGGATACATCAGGTCAGAAAACCTGGTCTATTCTGTCTTACAGGGCTCGGGCTGGAGAGAGTAAAGCAGTGATCAGGAGACCTGTGATGAGACTGGAAGTTGAGGCTCAGCCTAAGGGACCTTTCCTCATGCTTAGAAGGAGTGTTCAAGAGTGGGCATCTGGTGCAGGGGTTAAAATGCTGTTTGGGATACTCACATCCCATACCAGAGTGCCTGGGTTCAAGTCCTGGCTTTGCTTCCAGTTAGCTTCCCTGGGAGATAGCAAGTAATGACTCAGTATTACTTGTGTCCCTGATACCCATGTGGGAAACCTGGATTGAGTTTCTAACTCCTGGCTTCATCCTGAGCCAGCCACAGCTGTTGTAGGCACTTAAGGGAGTGAACTAGCAGATGGGAGATCCCTCTCCCTGCCTTTCGAAGAGGTTGTCCTGAGAGAGGCTAATGTGTGGAATCAGTCCATTGAGTAGAAGTGATGGTGTTGCCACGGTGACTCCCCTGACCTTTCCTGTATCCTCTTCCCAGCACATATCGGGTGTATGCATACACCCCCAGTTTGGGGGCTGGTTTGCTATCCGAGCGGTGGTGCTGCTGCCAGGGATAGAGGTGCCGGACCTGCCACCCAGAAAGCCCCCCGACTGTGTGCCTACAAGAGCTGACCGCATTGCCCTGCTTGAAGGCTTCAATTTCCGTTGGCGTGACTGGACTTACCGGGATGCTGTGACCCCACAGGAGCGCTACTCAGAGGAGCAGAAGGCCTACTTCTCCACCCCACCAGCCCAACGCTTGGCCCTGTTGGGCTTGGCCCAGCCCTCAGAACCTAGGCCCTCATCCCCTGGGCTTTCCTTTACTACAGTCAACTGCAAGAAGCCTCAGAATCCTGGCAGAGCCCGGAGCTGGCTCAGCCCGAGAGTCTCACCACCTGAATCCCCTGGCCCTTGACAGCTTACTCTCTGCAGAATCCTTATTTATACTGGCACTTACCAAGACTTAAGAGTTTATTCTGGGTACGAGATGACCACTTCTGGTACTAAGTCTTCAATGTGGTCACCAAGGCTTGATCAGGGCTGACATTGTGGTGCAGCAAGCAGGTTAAACTACCACATTCCAAATGGGTGCCAGTTGTGTCCCAGTTGCACCAATTCCAATCCAGCTCCCTAATGCTTGTGGTACAGCAGAGGATGGTACAAGTATTTGGGCCCCTGTCACCCACGTGGGAGACCCAGTTGAAGCTCCTGGCCCAGCCTTGGCCATTGTGGCCATTTGGGGAGCAAACAGATGGAAGCACTCTCTGTAACTCCCTTTCAAATAAATCTTTAAAAGAAAAGCTTATCAAGTGGTTGATGTGATGGAGTAGGTTGAACTGCTGCTTTTTGACCCTGGCATCTCTTAGCTCAGTGCCAGTTTGTGTCCCGGTTCCTCCACTTCAGATCCAGCTTCCAGGCCCCTGCTACTTGCGAGAGACCAGAATGGAGTTCCTGGCTCTGGCCTGCCCCAACCCTGGCCATTGCAGCCATTTCTGGAGTGAGCCAGAAAATGGAGTATCTGTTCTTTCTGTGGTTCTTCAAAGTACTTTAAAAAACAAACAAAAAAAAAAAAAAAAAAAGGAAGGAAAATGGGCCACTGCCATCGCATAGCAGGTACAGCCACCACCTACACTGCTGTATAGGCTCCAGTTCAAGTCCCCCATTGCTCCATTTGCTCCATTTCCAATCCAGCTCTCTGCTATGGCCCCTGCACCCACATGGAAGACCTAGAAGAAGCCCCTGGCTTCAAATCAGCTCAAGCCATTGCAGCCATCTGGGGAGTGAACCAGTGGATGGAAGACCTTATGTGGTCTCTACCTCAGTAACTCAACTAAATCTTTAAACTATGACACTAGCCCTGTATTTCCCCTCCTTGTTCAGTTCCAAAGGGACAGAAGCATCCAACTCTGTTCTCTTACAGGCTAAGCTTTATAGCTGGTTCAAATAATTGTATTGGGACCATAACTTGCAACTTGACCTATTGCATAAGTTGTAATATCCTAGCCTACACTATAATAGGGCTTGCTTTTCTCCAAATATAGTAAAACTTTACACCTAGTTCCAATTCCTATATTTTGCTTCAATACAATTATTTATTCTAAGCAGCTCTATTTTGCCCTCAAGAGGGAAAGCAAAGCATAATTTCCTCCTTAAAAAAAAAAAAAAAGGCAAACACCTCCTAAAATGAAGAAAGTCTGTTAAAGTTTAATAGATACTACAAAAGGTCAGTGGACTGATGCCCCACTACTGGTACATCATACACATCAAATGGCCTTGTGCCCCAACACAGCTCAGGCCATTCCAAACAAAGGGAAAAAAAGGCTGGACTCCCCAACCCTGTAGGATAGGCCTTTCCTTTATAGCACACCATATCTTGGCTGAATCTATAGTCTTCTACTTTAACCAGGGAAATAAAAGTACAAAAAGATTTTGTTCTCATGGTTGCACGCTGCAGCCTATCACTAACTGGCTCAGCGCTCACTTCTGCTTGGAGAAATATTCTTTGCTCTTCTGGACATCAGGCTTGATGGTATCACTGCCAGGCTTCCAGCCAGCTGGGCACACTGCAAGAAAAGGAATTACTAATTAAGAAGCTGTCCAGTGGTTTGCACCTCCCTCTCCCACAGACAAAGGGCTGCCTCAAAAGCAGACATGGGCTATGAAGAGATCCAACACTCAGGCGCTAGGAAATCCACACTGCAATCTGTCATTCAGCCCTTTAGTTAAGACTACTTTATAAAGCTTAAATAACTGAAATCTCATCACAGCACTAATACACCATCACACCGAATTTAATCATGTAGCTCCTGAAATTTCCAGAAATTAAAAAACAGCTTCTATAGTATGGCCCCTTTTTTCTATTTCTTCAGCATGGCTTTGTTTTAGTAAATCTCAAGTACATACAGCAAAATATTAAGATTTGTTAACAGTGGGTGGCAGGTAAATGGGTATTCACACTTTCATAATTTTGTGTATGCTTCAAATAGCAAGTCTAAATGGTCTTCAACAATTGATGCTGGCACAGCCAAAACTAGAAACAACCCAGTGTCCACAGAGATGAACAAAGCACAGTACATACAATGATCTGTCATAAGGAGAAATGAAGTTGTGATACAGGCTACAATACGGACAAACCTTTAAACACTGATCATGAGAACCTAAACATACAAGAATACTGTATGGTTTCAATCTTTATAAACTAACTAGAATAGGCAAACAGATGGAGCCAAACTAAAATAGGTTCCCAGTGCATGGAAAGAAAAGTTACTATTTAATGATTATACTCTTTGGGATGAGAAAATACTAAACATAATGGTGATGTTGGTTAATCCTCCGCCTGCAGCGCCAGCATCCCATATGGGCGCCAGGTTCTAGTCCTGGTTGCTCCTCTTCTAGTCCAGCTCTCTGCTGTGGCCCGGGAGTGCAGTGGAGGATGGCCCAAGTGCTTGGGCCCCTGCAACTGCATGGGAGACCAAGAGGAGGCACCTGGCTCCTGGCTTCGGACTGGCGCAGCATGCTAGCCATAGCAGCCATTTGGGGGGTGAACCAGCGGAAGGAAGACCTTTCTGTGTCTCTCTCTCTCACTGGCTAACTACACCTGTTCAAAACACACACACACACATACACACACACACACAAAGGAGGTAAAATATTTGCTATTATTCCCTCTTCCCAAAGATGAGATGAGCTAAATAATAAGAAAGCTAGGACGGTATAAACCAGTAACACTAGGCTGCTGCTTCCTCTGGCAGCCCAGCAGAGCTCAGCAGCCTCATCAGTGTTCTTTATCTCTGACAAAACAAAAAGCTGAAACCACAAAGGATTCAGGACCTCTACAGAAGGCACTGCTTGTTTCATTATATTCTACCCCTTGGGTAAGTTAATTTTGGATCTTTTGCATAGCATTCAACCTCCTCCTAAAACATCGAGTTAGCAATGTACCTTAACTGGCCTGAGTAAAATCAGGAGACCAAACTCGGATTTTCCCCCTTGCATTTGCCATTGTGTTCTCAGAGACAAGCAGTCGTCATCTGCCACAGCAGAGTCATTTGCTAAAGTGAGAGATAGCAAAGCCCCTTCCGGTCCAAGGGCATCACAACCTCAGATGTCCGACTCTGCAACCAGCACTCTGGACACAAGGGATAGATTAACAGATAAATAGGAAACCCATCTAAACAGGGAATCTCCATCTGATGGTTACATAGCTACTGGCTTTAGTGGCACCAAAGGGTTAAAAGACAGGTCATAAACAAGTTGCAAAAAAAAACAAACAGCAGCATGAAATCAAAAGACCAGGCCACAGCCAGAGTTTGCCAGCAGGTTAACATGGGACCAAAAGATTCCTCTGACTAGGATGACACACAGCTAAAGAATAAACCAGCCATAAGGACCTTGCCAACAGTCTCTTTGGCACTAAGGCCTCATAGTTTTTTTAACCACACTCATATATTGGTGATAGAAAAGACACCCCCCCACACACTTAGATGTTTGGTTTAAACCCAATAGTGTTTCCCAGTATCAATATGGATCCCAGCCAAACTGGCTGAGTCACAAATAAACTAGCCTTCCAGCACAGCTAACGTGCCACAACTCTCCAAGGGGAAAATGGCAACAATCACCATAACCTCAGCATGAGAGGCACAGAAGGTAAAGCAGCTAAAACTGGTGCCTGCAATGCTGGCAACCCCATAAGTGCCGGCTGTGTCTCAGCTGCTCCACTTCTCATTCAGCTCCCTGATAATGGCCTGGGAAAACCAGCAGAGGATGGGCCAAGTGTTTGGGCCCCCGCCACCCACATCAGGGAGACCTAGAAGCAGCTCCTGGCTGACCTGGCCCAGCACTGGCCAATGTGGCCATCTTGGGAGTGAATGAGCCAAGACTTCTCTCTCCCTCTTTCAAATAACTAAAGAAGGCCCGACACAATGTCATTTACAGCATTTTAATTACCTTTAGGGGAAAAAAAGGTAGTCTTTGAATTTAAAGTACTAGTTTATTGGTTCTTTTAAAAATGTAGGATTATTTGCCAAACAAAACACCACATAAAATACCCAAGATAGTTCAGCATTCACAGCTCTCAAATATTGAGACTATTTCCAAAGTGCCAGGGAGAGAGCTGTATCTGTTCTAGTGGGACTGGAAGCAGCAATACCAATAGTCTAAAGACAGAAGCTTCAGAATTGTGAAAGCCTGGACTCAAGAGTGTAGCCTATATGCAGTGCCCAAGGAAAAGTCCTACTTTGTCATTCCGTGCTCTATCCTGGTGCCAAACCTCATCGTCCACCAGAGGGCAGTCTCAGCAACTGTCAGCTACTTAAGGATAATGTCCATAGGCCTTCCTGCAGATGGTGCTCACTGATCCCTAGAATCAGTCTCTTCCATTCTACCTAAGATGGACGGCACTTTTGGGTTCCCCAAACACACACCAGTCATTAGGAAGCTAGTTAAACTACGTAGCTTCCAGAGAAAGAAAATGAGATGTAGTTAGAACTTTGTCAAACTACATCTATATTCCTGATCTGATGCCACAGCACCTGATCAAAATTTATCTTCCCCTCAATTACACTGAGGTAAAGATTCCTATTCTTCCATATAACCAGCACTTGCTTGCTCCAGGACCTGAGTCCTTAAAAATCAAGCTCAGCTTCCAGACAGGTGGACACGTGGGGTTTTGTGGAAGGTGCCATACCCCTTTTCTCATATGCCTTGCACTGTGCAATCTCTTAGTATCCTTTGAATAAACCAGTAAATGTAAAACACACACACACATGCAAAATTCTAACTTCTAACTCTTAACAACCACTGTTGAAAAAAAAAAAACAAAAAGCTATGGTCTTACAACTGAAGTGGTAGAATCAACATTTTAGTGCTCTTCTATTACAACACTGCAAGCACACACAAGGAGAGAGCTACCAATGCTGCAGTGATAAGTAAAGGGCCTACACGCTAGTGAGTACTGGATAAAAACCGAAAGTTGAATGTGCCTGCCAATTCATGTGTAGCTATCATAAGGACAAAACCCGGATCTCTGATCAGAATCAGTTATCTGAGACTTCCACTGAAGAACCTTGATATCTATACTGAAATCCTATAGTTCAATCCTCCTCCCATGCTTTAAGGTTTTTTCATTAAACATTTGTTATAATCCACTTGATAATTATAATTCTTAAATATAACTGTCCCTGCATAAGAGAATAGTTTTAGATGTCAGAAATATATTTTCTATTAGCTTTTGCATCTGTCTTTAATAAACAACCAGTCTTGTTTCTATTTTACAGATTTCAAAACTGTATCACTGCAGCCAGCACT